TGCGCAGTAGCGCGCTACATGTAGCGGCAGTTACATTTTTGGTAGCGGTAGCGGCGCTACATTTAAGCACTTGTAGCGGTAGCGGTAGCACCCGCTACATTTAGATCATGTAGCAGGAGCGGTAGTGGCCGCTACATTTCAAAGTCGCGCTGCCCAGCTTTGAACATACACAATGGATGACTCCAAATTCACCGGTATATTAGTAGGTAGGTACTTTTGTACTCGGTATTAACAGTGTTCTTACCATTTTATAAAGGTAACTGGTGAGACATTAGATAATTGTCATGAATTACTAGTCAAATTTTTACCTGACAGCCTGCAATGGAAATGCAGTAAAGAACAAAACAAGTTACCTATCTCCTGCACAATTGACACATGTTAGGTTTGGAAATGCATATGTAATCCCCTGTCTCCACTTCAGCAAGAAATAAGATATCTATGCAGTAGCTCAACTCACGGTATTACATGCTGCACCATTGGCACCTGAATTTAGCAACATCCTTACGATGTGAAGTGCATCTCTTTCTTGCTGGCCTGATGCAAGCATCAATGGTGTCATGTGGTTCTCACTAGGAGCATCCACCTCTGCTCCTGTAAGGTACCAATGCTTCTGAGATGTCCAAATATACACATCTATATTGCTTTAATTTCACATTTTACATCCCCTTCTAGACCAATTTAAGTAACATATAATATAAATTCAAATCAACAAATCATGTAATAAAAGTTTTGCATAGAAGTAGTTTTTTTTACTAAACTAAAAAGAATAAATTAAAAGGGAATTTTTTATAGAAACAGTATATATGAATTAATCAAAATGAGGTTTACCTAGGTACCTGCTGCAAGAAGGAGATTGACTGCATACATGTGACACTGAACTGTTGCTACATGCAGAGGCCTCATGCTACTGCTGTTACTCTGCTCTAGACATGAGGAACAATTCTCAAGCAAATACCTGCAAGTTCAAGAAGAAATTAGTGGCAAGAAAATTAAAATGATTTTTTTAGTTGATAATTGAAGATTGTTAGTGCTAAAAAATAATTAGGAATACTAATATTAACACTAAGCTTCTTTTAACTTGATATAAATTATTTTATTAATTAAATTACTTGGATGATATAAATGTGATTTTAAATAGTTATGATTATATGAGTAAATAAGAAACCCTAATATGAAAGAAAACTGTAAAGAAGAATCAAATCTGGATGAAAACCATACAACCAATATAATGCAATGAAACAAGCAATATTGTTAAAAGTTTTCACATCATATTTATTAGAAATCAGCATCTAAAGCAATCACAATATATGGTTGTTATTCACTTGAGTATTGATTCGTGTTTGACACGGACGGCTGCATGCAGAACTGTGTCAAGAGACTTGGGCTCCAGTAACTTTTGCCAGTCTGTGATGAGTGAAGCTTTCTCTCTAGCTTGAACTATTTTCTTCACTTGTGCCAAGTACTGATGTTCAATAGCAGAAAACAGAGCCTGAATAAAAAATGCATACAATACAAGATTAAAAAACATAGGTAGTCATATAACATATGCCCTGCTTATTATAATTTAAAAATATGCAAAAAAAGGCATCTGACGTAAGTGGCATCTAATGAACAAAATCATTTTGTCAATGCTTCTCGAGTTGCTGTCAACTCTAATGGGACTTGACCTCTTCAAGGTACGGTATTGCATAAAAAAAAGAAGGTTCAGATATGTAATCTATTTTTAGTACCAGAAAATCATACAAAAAACTTTGAGTTTAACACATTCCCCGCGTATCCAGATTTCCCCAGTATTCCCTTATCACGGAAGGCTTTCAGTGGTTGCTGCTTCAGTTTGGCGCCATTGGCCATGACGTGAGGAGGTGTGTGCTGCTCTGTGGCATCATAGCTTTGCATAGCTGCAATAAAAATGTTGGGACACATGTGGTACATTACGCAAGCAAATAATAACCACATGTTGTTCTTGCGTATTGTACCACCGGTGTACCAAGTATTTATTGAGCCTTATATGTACCATAATAAAATAGAAGGGAACAGAAGGGAATAGAGGGAATAGAAGGGAACAGAAGGAAATATAAGGGAATAGAAGGGAATAGCAGGGAATAGAAGTAATAGAAGGGAATAGAATGGAATAGCATGGAATAGAAGGGAACAGAAGGGAATAGGGGGGAATAAGAGGGAATAGAAGGGAATAGATGGGAACAGAAGGGAATAGAAGGGAACAGAAGGGAATAGAAGGGAATTATTAGTTAGAAGTTTTACAGTTACTATCGTTTGTTCAAGGAGATTTAAAAATAAAATTTTGGTCCATTGATTTGTTTTACTTAATAATCCACTTTTTGAGTGAACATTAATATTATAATAGAGAAAGTTCAAGTGCAAATTTTTTAGTTATATGCATTTTATCAAAACTGCATAAAATACTGCTTTTGGCACACTGGTGTCCCAATATGCAGCACTGGAATATCACTGTTGGTACACATATGGCTCAATACGCGGGGTAGGGAACATGTTAACATAGTGGCAAAGCAGAGAGTTTTTTAGATTCTTCCACAAGTTCATTTTTGAGTCCAAAGTAGACCAGTAAAGTATCATGGATACCAGCATTACCATACTATACATGAGAAATGGGTTTAAATTTCGAGATGAGGAAATTAAAAATAAAACGATTCTGAAAAATTAATAGTTTGTCATTAAGCTTTAAGATATTATCAAACTATTCTCTCATCTTTGCCTTGGTTTTTCAAAAACTACAAGTAGGTACTGACCATCAAATATCAATGACAAATATCAAATGCCTTATGTCACTGAAGCAGTCAAGCAGCTGGCACATAATGCTCATACGGCATACCTATTTGCCATATGTGAATAAAACGACATATTTACTTAATTGTAATGTTCTTCAATTGATACATTTGATTATGGCTACTACCTACAACTTACAAGCTAGTTGAAGGCTTTGAAGCTACAATTGTTAATTGCTACAAAGCAGTTTCCATCTTGGTAGAAACTGTGGTTCAGTTTGAACTTGGTTTACAAAAAAAAAATTCTATCAACATCAACAGCCAGCCCTATTGCCTATGGGCCATGGCTATGGGTATGGGTGATGTGGCGAGTCGTACCGCACTACCGCTCGTAAGTGGGAACTGGGAAGTGGCGACTCAAGTGACATTAACTGGCATCTGGAATGGATGTTAGCATTTTTTAACCAACATTAAGATTAACAGAACACTACTCATTGGTCTCAGCGGGTCAGCCTAAAATATTACTTATTATTTTCATTAAGCCTACTCAAATTCAAATGCATAATTATTATGCATTCTGTAATGTCAGTAGCTACTAGCTAATGATTATAGCATATAGCTTATGCATTACGCACGTAAATGATCAAAATTATATTTACCTTCTGCAACTTAGAGGCCATATTAAAACTTCTTCTTCCAGTATCTAAGCTAGGATGATATACACATTCTAACCAAGACAGTATTAGTAACACAGGGTTTAATGTTATTAATAACAATACAAATATTCGAAAAAATGCGGCGTTATCCAAAGTGTCAACAACAACAGCTGACTGACGTGTTTTCGCTACCTTGACCGTGAGTTGACCGCGCAATGGACTTCGCTAAAGAGACGAAATACTAAATAGTTTGAAATATTGGATAATAGAATATTCCATAAAATTATCTCATCGTCAGTTTTGTAGAAAAATTCATATTCGAAATGAGAAGAGGCTTGAAAGAAGAATCTAGCGGATTTTCCCCTGCTCCTTGAATTATGCAACGCCGATCCCGTTATCTTGTCATGCAGTCATTGCAGTGTGCATTGCCTTTCTAGTAGTGCTAGTAGTAGGTAGACAGTTCGAAGTTATTTGTTTCGTAAACTTATTCCATTTTAATATCTATTCAGCCACCTCCTTGAAGTATTATGGTAACTATCGTTTTATGTGTGTTCATTGTGTCGTATTGAACGCTTCATGAACGAACGAATGTGTCTTGCTTGTAGGCTGTAACCCTGATCGCATGTTAGCTAATTCTGCTTGCAATTCATATATTATACGTTAATATGTACCTAGCTGCCTATTGATAGTTAAAAAATGGTGTATTTTCTCAGCTTGTTTCAGTATTTCTCGCCTTTAATGCTTTGTATTTTACAGGCGCGGCACTTCAGAGAGGAAGATATTGATGGTGAGCCGTTAGTAAGAATTTTGTCCTGATGTCTTCGTTCATCAAATTATCGTCTTGCCTAAGTATTAGTTGACCATCAGTCAAAAAAAATTGGTATAAGTTTATCAAGTTATAATGCAGCTTGATGCTTCAGCTTCATCAAATTGTTTATAAAAATTATTGACTCTTTAGATGGATATACCTATGATAGTTTTTACCATACCTATCGGTTAAGGTATATAGTCAGATGGGGTAAGACAGGACCAAAATCACTAACAAGCCTGTAGCATCTAGAACATGAATAACTAAAAAACTGCAAACCTATCACAAGGTGTAGTTATGCAATGGGCTTCTAAGCTACAACTCAGACATTTTGCATCTAACATAGTTTTCTGTACAGATTAAAAAAAGTGAGCTGGTCCCATCTTACCCCATTGGGGTAAGATGGGACCAGACTGGGGTAAGACAGGACCAACTGGTAATTCTTATGTTACAAGGTTTTTAATAAAAGTACAAATCTGATATTCAATATTGTCCATCTAGAAACACATTATTTGATTAAACAATCACTTGTTACCATTTTGTGTTGCGGGAAGTCAACTCTAATATCAGTCACATTGGAGTTTTTGTCACAAGAAAACTTTGTTAAGCATAGTAATAGTGGGTTGGCTTTGGTTCATTGTAGAGCACTGTTAAATGCTTTATGTATATTCCATTAGTGTCATTGTCTGAAAAATTTATCAAATAGGTAATAAAACCAATGGATAATAACTTAAGTATCAGACATGTGTTTTCTTGCTAACTGCATTTGTGGTGCACTTCTTCAAACATAGCTCATGCCCTGTCACAGAGTTGTGATCATAATTATTTTTCATGTTTCACACAGTGATTTTTCCCCCAGCCAATCTTGCACATAGTTTTGCAGCTCACTAATGGGAATAGACATCCCTATTTTCTATATCCCTTTGATGCAATTTAAAATAGTGCACTAAATTTCTCTAATTAAAAAATCTAACAAGTTATAATGAAGTTTGAGCAAAAGATAAAAATTTTGACCAAAATACTCCATGTATGGTACCACACAATAATATATTCATTTAAAAATTATTTTTGATAAACTGTAGGATAATAGAGGACCATTTGTGGGGTAAGAGAGGACCATTTGTGGGGTAAGATAGGACCACTTGTGTGGTAAAACACGATCATTTAGTGGTCCCGTCTTACCCCATGTCTGGTCCTTTTTTTACCCCATTTTAGAATACATGTCAGGCAGTAATGGTAGCAGGTAGGAATGCCTAGTATGTCTCAAAAGTTGCCTATTACTTGAGGTTACCTGCCTACTAGACTCCTGCGTTTGGTATTTTTTTTAATCCGAGACGAGACGAGACAACAGGCTCTGTCCCGGTTGGCAATAAAAACCGGGACAATTTTCAGCACTCCGTTGGAATTCCGGGATGATACCGAGACGAGACGAGACGTCCCGGTTAAAATAGGTACCTTAAAATTTCCCGGAATTTACAGCCATTTTAACGAGACATAACGAGACTAATCAATCATTGATGTGGTGTAAACTTTGGCTTACCGTCATACATTTATACAGAGCTGGGCAGCGCTACTTTGAAATGCAGCGGCCGCTACCGCTACATGCTCTAAATGTAGCGGGCGCTACCGCTACCGCTACAATGGCTT